GTCGACTTTGCTTGGCTCATATACGAACCCTCGACTCAATTTTTTTTTATAAGTAATTTGAATTTATTTAAAATTTTTGGAAATTGGCCTGGCTATCAGTTGGGTTGTGCGTTATCAGTTGTTGAGAACAGGGTGCAAAATCTCTTTTCTCTTTGCTTCACCTTTAAAGAGCTTTCAAAATTTGGTACTCTTTCCCAGTAGCAATTTATGTAAGTACTTTAATGGTGTACATATCTCTCATGTACTTCAATAGCTCCATAATTACAGGAGGCGATTCAACATGGCTTAAGAAAAGCGCTCGTGTAAATTGTCAAAAAATTGCCTCATGTAAAGACAGCTTAATCCAAATAATACAAAAATTTATTTGTGTGATTGCCCGTATCTGATATTGGCGCAATAAACAGGTGAAGTAATAAAACAGCGATTGTCTGTATCTGACAATTGCGCAGCCTGTATCTGGCATTGGCGCAATAAACACGTGAAGTAATAAAACAGCTTTCTCGCGTTATCACCTGGTGTAATTCTACCATGGTAACTCACATATAATTTCACCATGGTATCTCACAAGGACAAAGTGTTTACTAATTTTTAATATTTTTATCGTTACCTCAATTCACAAAGGCCCTAGCCAACACTTTTTCGAAACTGGTTTTTTCACAGATTCTGGTAAGATATATAAAATTATAGCTTAAAAAACTTCAGTCTTTGTACCAAAAACAACGGTGTTATTCCTCCTAATAAAAGGCCTATATGCAGCTTTAAATTTCTTTTTATAATGTTTTTAGTTTCTCCTGTAAAGTAAAAAGTTTGCAGATTAGTGCCTTTGTAAATTAAGTCGTTTATATCGAGGTTTGCTTTTTTAGTTATAACACTACTGATGTATCTATATTCTTTAATTTCTTACGTTTCCATGAAATATACTGAAAACAATTATTTGCTCTTTGATATTCCGTCAACGGCAATCATGGGTTAAAAGTCCTTTCCAGCTCGATTACCCTTTCCATTGCTATCCATACTTTTTGTTACTGGGATGTGCTGCAGCGTTGTGAATCAGCTGGGAACTGTGTATTGCACACCTATTCCAAAGGTCATTGGCTAATTTCTATATACATATAAACCAGATAAAGTTTAGTCCACGATACCACAAAAATGTTATATACATACATAAGTATATACAAATATTTTGTAGTTTTTGCAATAAATTAAAACAAAAACAAATACCAAACGCATGCAATACACACAAAAATACTGTGAACGGAGTCGGACCGATCACAATTGTTTTTTGGAGCGTGGACGAAAGCCCCTTACGCAGAAAGGATCAGGGTGATATTTTTGATGGATTTTGTGTAGCGAGGATTTGTCTATAAAATAAAAGATTGATTCATAATCTACGTAGAATTTTTAAATATAACAAATTAAATAAGTTTAAAAAGTTGTTTGAATTTGTTTAAATATACCATTTTTGCTAAAACTACAAGATATTTATAAAATTTATATAATATTATGAAACATTGAATGGTTTTTGTGCTGAAAAACAGAGACCATAAATAAAATTAAATATCGCTCTATAATTATTACTGAACAATGGAAAAGTGGTTTTCGATTCGCGGGAATATTACTTTAAGACGTAAATTATTTTCGCCTTCTCATAATAATTATATGGGATTTTTATATTTTTCGTTTTGCGGGACATTTATTTCAAGACGAAAATGATTGAGGTTTTCTCATAATAATTATGTGGGATTATCATATTTTTTCGTCGCTCGGGACATTTATTTCAAGACGGAAATGATTTACGTCTTCTCTTCTTTTATTGAAATAAAACTTCTTACAGGCTAACCTAATATTCGCGGCTTGCGTTTTGGTACGCACGCCGTCGAATTTGTTTTTTTTGCGTCACCCTAAATTGGCTTGCGTGCGTTTGCATTTGATTTCATTGAGCGAAACGTCAAATCAAAATGTCACGCAGAACAAAAATTGGAAATTGAGTTAGCTTCATACGCACGCCGTTCAATTTCGGTTGGTCCCATACAAGTTGTATGTGCATGAGAAATTTTTGACAGTAAATTGGCGGCGTGCGTGAATATTAGGTTAGCCTGTTAATTGAGTTCGCAGATTTGACGCATTAAATATTTAACGCCACGATTGTTCATGGCATCAAATCTGTACAAGAATGATAGAATACAAGATTGCGCCGATCGGAGAGGATTTTTGAGAATAACTTGTGTGTGACGTCACACTGGTGCAATTACGAGAGAGAAATGCCAAACGTGAGCAAGAATGGAAGAAGAAGAAAAAATGTTGCAAGGAAAACGAAACAAGTTGCACCAGTGTCAGAGAACGTATATTTATAGAGAAGGTCCAAGAACTGTGAATGCCACATTTTTCGAGCCAACTAAACTGGCGAAGCGCATTTTAAGAGAGACAAATATTTGGAATACTTAACAGCGAAAGCAAAATTCAAAGCAGAAAAGAAGAATGTTAACAGAGCTAAATCTCACGAGAGCGTTTGGAATGTTAATTAAATATGAATATTGATAATTTTTGTGATATTTTTTGCAAAATTTTCAAATAGAAAACCCAAGTAAAAAAAAATAATTATTTTTTCAATGATTTGTACAAGTAACATGAAATTAAATCGGACATAGTATATAACATTTTCCGATTTTTGTGATATTTTATTAATAATTGCAAATAGAAAAGTCACATGAGTTTGTGTTTTTCGTTAAAATATTTTTTGATAAAAAATCCTTTTCCCCGGTGATTTCTACAAATACCGTGAAAATAAATCGAAAATGTTATATAGCAGTTTTCGATTTTTGTAATATTTTGTTAGATTTTCAATTATAAAACTTTTTTGGTATTAGATTTTTTTGTAAATAGAGTTTTTAAGGGAAAAAATAGTTTATTCTCGGTGATTTGTACACACAACGTTAAGATAAATCGAAAATATTATATAACATTTTCCAATTTTTGTGTTATTTTCAAGTAAAAAACTGTGGTATTTGATAAAAAAAAAAACAGTGAAAAGAATTATTTTCCATTTGTTTTGGAGATCTCACAAAACTAAGTCGAAAGTCTGTATGAAATTTTTCCATATTTTTGATATTTATGGAAATAATTCAGTTTTTAATTATTTTCGACTTGGAAACTTTTTTTAAAAATACTTAAAATCTGAAAACGTCGGATTTTCGCAGCAATTAGTAAAGATCACGCTAATCTAAGCCGAAACTATTTAACAAATTTTTCAACATTTTCAATATTTATTCAGTTTTCAAATATGTTCTAATAAAGTCGTGTAAGTTGCCATTGGATGGGTGGCAGTTCCGCTACTCATGTGCATATTTGTCCCCCACATTGTCATTTACATATCTAATTTATTAATAACTAAACCTAAATTTATAAAGCACATATTTGTAAACTTCATTTCATTACCTATTTCTGCTACCAAATTTTTCATGCATCCAAAAAGACAAACAAATGAGAATGTAAGTATGTATGCATTTATAAATGTACATATAAACATACATATACACGATTGTTCTGCTTTCGTCTTCCCCTCGCAGCTTCCATCCACACAAATTATTCAATTTCTGCGAATTGGAATTGGCATTTTTTACACGCATACATGCATACTTTCATATACACATGTACAGTGGAGTACCACTAGCTTGGACATTTCATTGCTTGTACTTTGATGTGTTTGAATTTTTTACGGTACTGAAGATTTGCTTACGGTTGAAAAATATTAAAAATCGTCCGTGCATATATGTAAATATATTTTTATAAATGCTTTGAAGTATAGAAAATTTTAATTTTAAAAAATAAATAAAATAATTTTTTTGTATATATATAAATTTTGTTCAAGGCACATTGACCCACCTGTACAAAAATTGTGGCGCGGCATGGACAAAAATTTTACAATTTCGGACCGAAAAATATGAAAACGAGCTAAGTTGCCACGTTACATCTGTGAACTTCCGATAAAACCACATATGTTTGTGATTTTACAAGTTTTGATTTTATTAAAAAAAAATTAATGTATTTTGCTGCAGAAAACATACACTTTTATTTAATGTTTATTAAAATGACACTTTAAAATACTAGTTAATGATTGAAATATTGGCATGGAACAGAGAAATAGAGTGTTTTGTCAAAAACTACCAAAAATTACCAAAAATTGCCAAGATTCGAGATAACTTATTTTACTGGATATAGAGAAATAATTGCCAATTTTCACTTGGCTGGCCGAGATTTCTTCATTTTAAGATTTTAGAATTTTTGTGTCGGATTGACAAAGTTGCGCTTGTTGGTGATGAATTTGCGGGGAGATGTGCTGCGGTTATTTTTATGAATGAATTTACTTGGCCTTGAGAAATGCGCGCATGCGTTTATGAAAGAAATAGTTATTGTTGGATTTGAGTATGCGTGTAATTATGTGCAATGAGTTGTAAATATGTACATTTGTGTGTATGGGCGTAGTATTTTGGCAGTAATATGCACATACATACATATATATGTATGCATGGAAAAACGTTATCATTTAATGGAGTACGTATGTACATACGTATGCATGGGGAAATGCATTTTCATTGGACTCCAAAACTATTGGGGCATACCTATTCGTATATGAAATAAAGTCTACTCTAAGTTTAAGTTTATCAGTCCCAAATAAGAAAGTTAGTTGCATCTTTTTTTTCACAGATGCCTAGTCCACTGAAAGTGATATGAAAAAGCTGTAACTAACTTTAGTGTCGGCTTTATTTTAACTATGCATATGCCCCATTATTTATATATAATACGAGTATAGCAGTGAAAAATGATAATGCACAGTTTTTCGCAATATAAATAACTTTTCCGACAAAAACAACTTTGAAATTAACACGTGCAGTGCAATCAATGCATTTGTACGTTTTTTGTCAATGTATCCATCTTTGAAGTGGATGTGTGAGAAAACTAAGGCAGCTACAAAACTGAATTTTGTTGCATTGAAAATAGCGTACCTATAAACTACCATTAGAATCGCTAAAAATATAAAAACCGAGTTTCTTCGCTTTTAATGCCGACACCAAATCACCAAACAGTGCGCATTTGCGTTTTTTGGTCAATGTGTCCATCTTTAAAGTGAATTTGGGGAAAAACTAAGGCAGCTAGAAAACCGTGGTTTGTTGCATTGAAAATAGCGTAGCATCTACCATATGAATCGGTAAAAAAGTAAAAGTCGATTTTTTCAACCCAAATGCCGACGGCAAATCACCCACGAATTTGCCAACTGCATGCTACATATTTGCATAACTTTCACTTTTTAGATTCACAAAATTGTATCTCTCGCATACATATATGTACATATTACATATTTCGACCTATGCATGCATTTATTTTAAATAATTAACCAATTTAAAGAACAATAAAAGCGAGGTAAAAACGTAAAAAGCCATCAGCATTTCATTTCTAACAAGAAAAATATGCATTTGCTTTGATGAGACAATTTCTGTTAAGTTTATTTTGCTTCTGGCTGGGCTCTGTTAAAATTCGATTGTCTCTTGCTGGCCGCTCTTAAAATGCGCTTCGCCAGTTTTGTTGGTATTTGACAGTTTCCACGCTGATCCGTTCTTGGACCTTCTCTATAAATATACGTTCTCTGGTTCTCGTGTATGCATACATACGTGAATTTGTTAAATCTGTAGTACATATTAAAATTTTGCATTTTTCGATTCAATTCAGCCAAGCTTTTAATAAATTCATTCTACGCTTGACTTAGTGCTGCCAAAATTAAAATTTCATAATACAATTTTACAAAATTTTACCAAAGAAAG